GGGGGGGGGCACCATAAGATCGGCCACAGTGGATCAGACCCACGGTCCATCTCCCCCAGTGTCCTGTCTTCCGACAGTGGCCAATGCCAGGTGCCACCGGGGGGTGGGGTAGGGAGAGGGCATTGGAGGAGGGGGGACCAGGTTGGGGAGCAGGAGGTGAGTGGGGAGCACTGAGGAGTGTGTATATGGGGAGGGGCACCAGGGAGAATGTGGATTGGGCCGGGCAAAGAAGAGGGAGCACCAGAGTGGGGGAGGGGGTGATGAGGGCACTGGGGCAAAAAGGTATCTGGGGGTCTGGGAGGTGTGTCCCTCCTCCTCAGCAACACCCCCCCTGATATTTATTTCTCTCCCTGTTTATTTTCGAGAACCACATTAACCCACTCCTCCCCCTCCCCTGGGAATGGGTGCACACCAAGGTGTCGTCCCCCGTCCCATCAAACAGCTCCCACTGCACCTCGCCCCCCCCTTTGATGCATCCTCTTCCCGCAGATCAGTTCTCTCACTGGCAGGTGGAGCATGGGGGCCATGGCTGGAAGGTGGAAGAGAACCTCTGCCCAGTCGAGGGCGCCCCGGCCCAGACCTGCTTCGTCTCATCCTATGAGTGAGTCTGTCCCCTGGGCCTTCCTGTTTGCCCCCCACCTTCCCTGTGTGGCAGAGAGCTACCTGTTCTCCAAAGGCCAGACCGGTCCTGATCTTGCGTGTTCCCCTGCGAATCCAAAGTCACTCTGGATTGACACAGCATAAATGAAACCCAGAGGTGCCAGGCCAGAGTCTGCCCTGCACCTTGTACCATCATGTCCCAAATATATGTACACCCCAGTAAATCTGGAGTGGCTCTGGATTTAGGCCAGGGCTACGCTACAGATTTCTGCCAGCACAGATCTGTCGGTCAGGCGTTGGGAAGAGAGCTGTGCTAGCCAGTGTGGATTCAGTGATACAGCACGGTGCACTGTTACTAGGAGAGTTTGTGTCGCTCAGGGAGGGTGGTTTTAGTTGCCAACAGGGTATCCTGGGATTCTTATACTGGCAAAGTGCTCCTACTGTGGACATGGTCTAAGCACCACAAATTACACCACTTTTATTAAGTATCAGGGGGTAGCCGTGTTAGTCTGTATCCACAAAAACAAGGAGTCTGGTGGCACCTTAAAGACTAACGGATTGATTTGGGCAAAGCTTATCCCCAAATCAATCTGTTAGTCTTTAAGGTGCCACCGCACTCCTAGTCACTTTTAATAAAACGCTGGAATTAAACTGCTGTTGTGTGTCCACACTGTACTCCTTGTGACGCTGGAGCACATCCACATTAGCAGCTCTTGCAAAGGCAAAGACAGCAGTGCATTGTGGTTGCTTCCCACTGTGCAACTGGCCGCAGGGGGCTTTGGGAAGCGGGGAGAGAGACAGTGTGTTTTGGGGGACAGAGAGAGTGTCACATGCTGTCTTCTAAGTTCAGACAGTGGCAGGATGCAACCAGTCCTGAGGCGCAGAAAGGGGGAAACGCTGGGATGTCACTTGAGGGATTATGGGACAGCTCCGGAAGCCAATTACAGCGTAATAGCAATCAAGTGTGTACACTGGCAATGAGCACTGGAGCCTCGGTGCAAACAGCCTTACGACTCGGCGAGGTGTTTTTGCAGCGCTGCAACTGCGGAGTTTCTGCGCACAAGGTGGCAGTGTGTACACGTCTGCAGTTTGAGCGCAAAAAGCTGCTTCACTGCACAGAAACTTGCCAGTGTAGACAGGGCCTTAGTAAATGTGGAGTCGCTCCGGATTTTCAGCGGTATAACCAAGATCAGATGCAGGCCCTGACTCTGTGCTGCCCTTGTGTCATCATGACACACAAACACACACACTCTACCCAGGTGTCGGTATCGACCCAAGGTGTCTGGCAGGCGAGAACTAGGAACGGTGTTGCTTCAGATTTACGAGGACTTCTCTGCACCGCTGATTTGCCCAGATTCCAGCCCCAGGCGTAGCTGCCCCGGCAAACTCCTATAACAGACGTTATTTGCACTGGGGGAGCTGACCCCATGAGTTCAAGTCATGGCTTATGGCAGCTTTTCCTGTCTACACAGGGAGCTGTACTGGGGGAGTGTCCGGAGGCTTGAACACCTGAGCTCTGTTCCTGGCTCTGCTGTGTGACCTTGAGCAAAAACTACTTCCTCTGTCTGTGCCTCGGTTTCCCCTCCCACCCTTTGCCCACCATGTCTGCACTGTGAACTCTTTGGGACAGCGATTCTCTTCCTAGAGTTCATCTTGACCTGCCAACACGTTAAACCCACAGCTGCCTTATCTACAGTAGGATTTCAACACCTGTCCACTAATACCTTTTTCTTTCCCCTAGAGTCCACAGAGTCTGCGCAGCGCCCAGTATAATGTGGCCCTGATCTCAGTTAGGTGCTCTTGCAATATCTCATTAGGGTTTCCTTTCCCTCTCTGTAGCTGGTGCGTCAAATCGCAGCTCGTAGATCTTCTAAAGGAGGGGTTGTGGGAAGAACTGCTGGATATCTACCAACCGGAAATCTACATCTCCGATTGGTAAGTTTCACCCTCTTCTCCCTAGAATCCTTAATGGTGACCTGCTGAAAGAAATGGGTTTGTGTCTTTGCTGCTGATTTCTGATGACTGAAATAAGACCTCTGAGGTTTCCTTCATTTCTAGTTACAGGGGCCACCTGTGCCCCAGAATCAAAGGCCTTAAAAATCTCAAGCCTGTTGCACCTTGTTTGATCTGTTTTTTAGCTGGAGGTCCCCTTGGAGGACCCAGAGATGTGGGTTGGGAGCCCTCTTAGCCTTTAATTAAAGCAGTGAGAAGGGTTGGATTTTTAACAGTGAGTTTCTCCCGCCCAACTCTTGGTCAGGGGCTTGCGTCAAATGCACGTCGCAGGTCACGTCTGCTCTCGGACTTGCTGGCTAGGATTGTACTCGGGCTTCCCTGAAGTTGCTGGGCTAGACAAGACCAGTGGGTGAGGATGTTACAGTGCTTGGAGCTAAGATGCTGGTGCAATCCCCTGATTGATGGGGACCAAAAAGCCAGTGGTGCTGCGTGTGTTGGATTCGGCTGTGTGTGTTCCCAGGATTCCTCTTACGTTCTACATTCGGGGAGCTGTGTCCTGTCTCCCTCCTGCTGCCCCGTGAGGTTCCTTGTTCCCCAACGTCTGTTCCCATCCCGCAGGTGGAGTACCCGGTGTGGCTGTGTATACTCCATCTGCGTCAAGCTCCTGGCTGCCAACAGAAGTACTGTAATCGCTGAATTCAAGGCCAACCCCGATCGCTTAGAAAAGTCGAATGACGCGCAGTATCACCAGGTGAGCCGGCTCTGTTGCCAGCTCTCTGGGAACATTTAGGGACTGGGAGTCAGGACCCCTGGGTTCTAGAACCGACTCAGCCACTGGGTTGACTTTGGGCAAGTCACTTCCCCGCCCTGTGCCTCAGTTTCCTTGTGAAAGGGGGATAACAATACCAAGCTCTATTGTAAAGCGCTTTGAGATCTACCACTGAAAAGCGGTAGGGATGAAGTGGGCGTAATTGGTAAAATTATGTATGTTTTACTATGGAGGAGCGGAGGCGCAGGTGGCGGTGGCAGAGCGAGGAATAGAACACGGGTCTCCTGACATCCAGTCCTCTATCCACTAGCCCACCACAGGCGGCAGATAGCTAGGGCCTGTGGGCGCTCATCCTCCCCGCCCAAACTATTCCTGCCTGCCCCACTCGGCAGGAAAAGCTCTGCTTCCAGCTGCACCAGGGCCAGGAAGGAGGCGGGAATGGCCCCACCTGTGCATGGACAGTCGTGTTACGTGACGCTCTAGCGGGCTCCTCCGAATTCTGCAAGGGCTGGAGCCGGACCCAGACCAGTGGGATGGGAGTCACCACCAGTGCGCCCTCTAATTTCCCCCCCCCCCATGTGCGGAATGAATTTTGTTATATCCAGGGTGGATATGATTTAAATCGAATGGCTTTAAATCACTAGTCAGGAAGACTCCATTTAATCATGGATTTCTACATAAAAGTGCATTCTTGTTGGTTGTTATAACCTTGATACATATTCTTCACAACTCAGATGGATGAGACCTAAATTGGGTCTCTCTTATGGCCTGCTGCCATTATAGGTTTTCCCTTGTAGTGAGAGAATGGTATGGTAGATCTCAAACCAATGAAGGCTACACTCAAAGACCTCAAGACTTCTGGAATATGCTGCTCAAACAGTTTCACTTTTGTTTCTACTGCCTGTCCCTCCCTTCCTGCGTTGATCTCCAGACTTCTCCTTGTCCAGATCTATTCTGCCCCCAACAATCTTCTATTCCTTGAACTTTTTGAAACTTTGCACTTTTAGAGAGAGGTAAGGGACTGACTGTGTGTACATACATTTGCAGAGGGACAATAGGGTTGAGGTCTGTTATTTCTCTCCTCTATATATTATTTTATTTATTTATTTAAAAACATTTTTGCTGTTAACAAGCATGTTATCTCTGGAGACACAAATCCACAGTTTGAGAACTGCAAAACTAAGCATCTCTGATGGTATCTTCTAGACTGAGCACTGAGTCCCATTGGGTAGATAGAAAGACCTAAATCAGGGTGGGCAAACTTTTTGGCCTGAGGGCCACATTGGGGTTCCAAAACTGTATGTAGGGCCAGGTAGGGAAGGCTGTGTCTCCCCAAACAGCTTGGCTGCTGCCCCCTCCCACTTCCCACCCCGAACCTGTGACCCATCCAACCCCCCCGCTCCTTGTCCCCTGACTGCCCCGACCCCTATCCACACCCCTGCCCACTCACAGGCCCCCCGGGATTCCCACAACTATCGAACCACCGTGTTCCCCATCCCCTGACCACCCCAGAACCTCCACACCATCCAACCACCCCCTGCTCCCTGTCCCCTGACTGGCCCCCGGGACCCTCTGCTCCTTATCCAACCCCCCTGCTCTCCGCCCCCTTGCCATGCTCAGAGCACCAGGCCTGGCAGCCGTGCTGCCCAGCCAGAGCCAGCCATGCCACCGTGCAGTCTAGAGCACCGGGGCAGGCCGGCGGCTCTCACAGCCGCGCTGCCCAACCGGAGCTCAGAGCCCCACCGCCCAGAGCACTGGCGGCATGGTGAGCTGAGGCGCTAGCCTCCCCAGCCGGGAGTTCAAGACGGTCCCACGGGCTGTAGTTTCATAGAATATCAGGGTTGGAAGGGACCTCAGGAGATCATCTAGTCCAACCCCCTGCTCAAAGCAGGACCAATCCCTAATTAAATCATCCAACAGATTTTTGCCTTATATCCCTAAATGGCCCCCTCAAGGATTGAACTCATAATCCTGGGTTTAACAGGCCACTGCTCAAACCACTGAGCTATCCCTCCCCCTAGTTTGCCCACCTCTGACCTAAATAATCTATACAGAAGCCCCTGGAACTCCGTAAAATTGGGTCCCTAATCCATGAACTATTGGAACTCATTTACAAAACTTTTCTTCAACATGATATGAATATATTGTCTCATACCATAGAATTAGAATGTATAATCCCTATTCCATTATGAGATGCATTTTTTTTAAAACCATAGATTTTCATCCACCCTGGTTATGTGCACCAATATGGAGGGGAAGTGTGGGAGGGGGCTCAGGGCTGGGGCAGAAGGTTGGGGTGAGGGCACTGGCTGAGGGTCCAGGCTCTCGGGTGGGGCAGGCAATGAGGGGTTTGGGGTGCAGGAGGGTGCTCCGGGGCTATAGCAGGGAGTGAGGGCTCCCCCCACAGCAGCACTTGGGTTTGGGAGAGAGGCCCCTCTCCCTGCCGCAGCAGCTCCGGGGCTGGGGCCATGGGATAGGCGCCCATCCCCCAGCCACAGGAGGGCCAGGGCTGGGGCGCCTCTCTCCCTGGCTGAGGCAGGTCCCGGCCGGGCGGGTCCCCTGAGCCCCTGCACAGCACTAAATAGGCTGCTGCACGGCCACGCACCTTACAGGGAACTTAGGCCACCACTTGGGGGGCAATGTGGGGCAGGCGCCTGCTCTCCGACCCCCCCCCCCCACTGCACAGCAGCTATTCTGTTTTGCCCAGCCCCTGCCCTGCAAGAATATCTTCCCCAGTCTGTGTAGCTTCCTCTCTCCGGAGCACATGGATTTGTGACAGGGTCCAGAGATCAATTTGGGTTCCTTTTCCTTCCCTCCCAGGTGTCCTACCGGTTCAGGCAGTACGGGCGCGGAGTCCGGTATGTGCATTTCCTCCACAGAGGGAAGGACATTCTTTACTGGGCAGGATACTATGGCGCACGGATCACCAACTCCACAGTCATGGTGAAGCTCAACTGAGAGCCAGATGCGGGTCTCCACGAATCTCTCACGCGAGCCGGAATGATGATCTCCATTTGCCTCTGTGAGCTCCTCTCAGGGGGAGGGATAGCTCAGTGGTTTGAGCATTGCCCTGCTAAACCCAGGGTTGTCAGTTCAATCCTTGAGGGGGCCACTTAGGGATCTGGGGCAAAAATCTGTCTGGGGGTTAGTCCTGCTTTGAGCAGGGGGTTGGACTAGATACCTCCTAAGGTCCCTTCCAACCCTGATATTCTAGGATTCTCCCGTCCTAGAACAAGTCAGGGGGATGCGTCTCCTTGAAATGAATCCGCCCCTTTGCCTGAGGAGCTTCTTCGCTCCGTTCTTTCTGGCCAGCCTCGTCCTGCGCAGGACCAAAGAGCACCAGGGCGAATCCTTAGGTTCCTAGTGCTGACTTCGGTCAGTGTGACCCTGCCCCTGCACGGCAGAAGCAACAAGTCTTAAAAGATTGAAACAACTGGGCTTGTGCCTCTATTTGGGGGGCTTTGGGATTGTATCATCAGAGAGTGAGGGGGTTAAAAAAATAGTTGTTTGGGGGTGTATTTTTACCCCCGTAATGAGGAATTTTCAGCTCTTCTTTGCCATGTTTCTGTTCGGAAGCTGCAGGGAGGTGGGTTGGGAGCTCGCTGTGTGTCCTGTTAAGGGAAGAGTTTTTTCTGCCAGCTGATGCCCGTGGCGTCGCCTGTCTGATGTGAATCCAGATTCACAGGCAGGTGAGCAAAATACCCCTCCCTCCCCCCATGCTAATTAGATTGCATGGTTCTGGGGAAGGAGAGTTGTTGTACTTAAAGTACTGTACAGGATCTTTTCAGGGGGAATAAGGCAAAACGCCACATTTATTAGTAATACATGTATTAATTAACACTGTATCATATGCATATGATATATATATTACACTCATGCACTCACATACACACAAGCACACTCTGTCTTGTTGTTGTTACCAATTATTTGCTCCCCTTAACTTCACTGGCCAGGTGAGTTAAATGGGGGAGGGGTGGAGCCAGGCCTACTTTAACTATCCTTAGGGGCTATAACATTATACCCAGGCTTAACACAAAGATTCTACATGAGGCTTTGATCCAAAATTTCCATACACCAAGGCTCATCAGTACAAGGTTTCTATATTAGGCTTTGATACAAAGTCTCATGAAAACAGAGGTCACCCGTGGGTAGACCCACTACAAGGTTCTATGAAGAGGCGCAATGTAAAGTCATATGAAAATTATCAGAGATTTATCTACAGGTTTAGAACCCACCTCCTGCAAGCTATGCGTAGTGCAGTGCTCACGAGAATACCATACCAGGTAGTCCTTAGACAAATGTAAATTGCCGCTTGCTGATTGTCCAAGAGTTTATGGGGAACATAATCTTCAGGTCTGTTCTCACTGCGCTCGCATCCCAGCAAAGCCAGTGGGCGTGGTAAACGCTCAGGCCTTTTGCTGACATAAACCAAGGGTTGGATTCTGAAGTGTGTAAATCTGGAAAGACTCCAGTGGAGTGACTCCAGATTCACACAGGTCTATGTCAGACCAGAACTGGGGCCTAGCAGTGCTTTGGTGCAGTTCCCACCCCATTTTGGGGGGCGATGTCAGCGTAAGGCAAAGTCCACACTTGTACTAACGCATGATCACAGGGCATGGGCAGAGGGTTATAGGCAGAGCCGCAGAGCCCACTCCCAGCAGGGGTTGATGGGCAAGATATTTCTAGGGGACTGGGGTCTAATTTCTGCCACATGGTCCAGCGATGGCGTTCAGTGCATCAGCTGGGCTTGGGTGCGGTCAGCGGGATGGGTCTTAGCCCTGCTAGTAAAGACAGGCCAGAACATCCGCTGGTATAAACCAATGTCCTGCCAGTGGTGTCTTTGCTCTTACACCAGCAGGGGACACCGTCCCGTTGATTGGAGGCGTGATGCTGGGGGATCTGGTGCTCTGTGTTACCTCTCTCAAAAAATGCCCAAATTCTGCCCCCATTGAAGTCCGAGGATCTAATTCTCCTACTGTTTAAATGACTGAGTGAAGAATGAGGCGTGCTGACTCCACTGGACTCAGGCCTGGTTAACACCGGAGAGAAGGAGAAGGGAACTAGGGCAGCTATTCAGTCCTAGCGCTGAGCAACCTCCCTGCCCGTTCCCTTGGTGCGCAGAGAGCCGGGATGGATGGTGGCCCTTTGGGTCAGGCTGTTATTGTTTAAAATGATCCCACGGGCCTGGGCTGAAGTCCCCAGTAGGTTAGTTACTGAGGAGCTAACGGGTTTCCTGTTGGCCTGAATTGTTTTTATTAATACAAGGGCACGGAAGGTTTGAGCTGGTCCCCCACCGGAAAAGAGGGGGCAGGGAATGGATTCGCTGGTCAGTTTCACAGGGCTCTGTCCCGAAATGGAGTCGCTGAAGATGATACAACCAGCTGTGCGGCTTGTTAATGAAGATTAAAGTGCTTTTCTGAACAGCGTGTGGTGTGGGTGCTTTCACAGCTCAGCTGGCTTGAAAGTGAGATAGGCCCAAGCTGAATGTCCCAGTTCTTCTCCCTTCAATGAGAGGAAGAAACTTGGGGACCACGCACAGCTGAGAGAGAGCAGGAGGCAGCGGACAGGAGTTTGCAGTGGGGTGTGGTGGTAATGAAATGATGCAGTGTGGGGGCTCTACGGGAAGAGCTCTCCCCCTTTCCCTTCTCCCCGAGTTAGTGCTGGGCGGCCTGGCCCAGGAGGGGCAGACAGTTGTGCCCCCCGCGTTCCCTGAGCAGCAGGTTGCAAGTTGCCGAGAAGCCATCTGAGGAGATGCTGCTGCTCAACGCAGTGAGATCCAGCTGCTGCCCGGCATGCTCAGAGAGGGGGGCGAAGCTCAGGATCGTGCAGGTAGGACTGGGGTGCATGAAACAGTGTGTGAAGCCTGAGACAGCTCTGCAGGGACACGTTCCTCCCAGGGATGCTCTCAGGGGCAACGAAAGGCCGAACCATCGCTGGGGGCGGCTGGGCGAGAGGCGGCTGCCTCGGCATCGCCCACTAGGAGGACAGCGCCCCTGACAGCCAGTAACGGGGTGTGTGCGCTGGGTGTGGCTAGTGCCCCAAGGCTCCCCAAAGCCTTCCCCAGGCAGTGAGTGACCCAGCCCCACTGCCCCCTGGCTGCTCCCCTCCCTCCCGCTCTGCACTGGGACAAGCTCTGGCCAGGAGAGGGGAAGAGGACGTGGCCTGAAGCTCCCACAGGGACTCAGCAGGAGAGCTGGGGATAGAACCCAGGAGTCCTGACTCCCAGCCCCCCTGCTCTAACCACTAGACCCCACTCCCAGAGCAACACTGCAGTCAGGCCTGTGACTGCTGCGCGGAATGACCCTAGCGCTGTCCCGTAGGACCCCACCACGATCCCGCCTCCTGACTCTCCCTGACCAATCAGGAGGAGCAACGCTCCCTGAGCGACAGCCGCGCCCGGCCTACCCGCCCGAGCGAGCCCAGCCGGGACCAATCAAGAACTGTGGCGCCGCTGCTAGAGGGTGGATGGGCGGGGCTTCTGTGTGGCCAACCAAGAGGCGGCGCGGTCGGAGCCAATCAGAGAGTGGGAGGCGGGGCCGAGCACTCGGTGGGGGCGGCAAGATGGCAGCTGAGGCGTGAGGTCAGTGTGGAGGGGGGGGAAGGAGAGCGAGGGGCTGCGCCGCCCCTCCCCCACCGGTGCATGGGGGGGGGGGGACACACACAGCCCCCTCCCCCATCCAGGGTCCTGGCCCCTCCCCCTACTTGTTCCCCGGGGGGGCACAAACAGTCCAGTCCTGCCTGGTGCCCAGCCGCCTCCATCTCCCCAGCTGCTGCTCGGGCTGGCGGGGGGACCCCCCCCTTGCTCTCCTGGTGACCCCATAACTGCTGGTCTGTGGATGTGGGGGGGTCCCCCCTCCCCCAGCTGCGTCTCTGGGGCGTGGGAACACACCTCCCATTCTCCTGCCAGCTTCCCCCCCCCCCCCCGGGCCCCCCCTTCCCCCCCCCCCCCAGCTGCTGCCCTGTGATTGGGAGTGGGATTCCCCTCCCCACTTAGTGCCCTGCCTTTCAGCCGCCCCTCCTCCCCCAGCTACTACTCTGGGGCTGGGGAGAGGACCCCATTTCCTCTCCTCTCCACTTGGTGGTCCCCGCCTAGCTGCTCCTCCGTGGATGTGGGTGACCCCCTTTTTCACAACCTGGGGCCTGTCCTGCTCTTCCCTTCCCAGCCGCTTTGGGGGTGTAGGGGATTTGTACCCTCCCCCAAACCAGCTGGTTTGTCCTGCTGAAAAATCCCCCCCCCACACACACACACCTTCCTTGCCCCCATTACTGTGCCCCCTTTTTCAAAACCATTGTTAGACTCCCAGCCCTGGTGGGACAGGTGTGTCCCTACACAGGTAGAGAACAGGCTAAGCCTTCCATGCACATGCACCCTTGGACCATTCAATCTGAATCTGCAGGAATCTGCTCTAGGAAAGTGGGTCTGTGACGCTTAGAGCTTGGCAAAGGAGCAGCTTTGTAACCTGGATGTGTCATTTTGCCTAGGAACTGGGCAGAGATTTGCCAGACTTGTGCCATGTACAGCAACAAACCCCTGTCAGATAGTAACAATTCTCACTCGCTTTTCTTCTGGGCTAGTGATTTTTAAAGAGGTAAGTTCTGTAGTCAGTTACCAATCCCATAAACCATCTTGTCTCACTTGACTGAGACCGTGCCTATCAGTGAGGTAGCTGGAGTTCCCACCCTTCAGAAATATTAACTTCTTGTTTTCCTTTCTTCCAGGGGACTTGTATTCACGGTCTCTGGGGCTTTAGTGAGCTTCTAATGCGGAGAATGTCGTGCAGGGGTTTCCTGAGGTTGCTGGCATCACCTTTGAGCTGGAGTACGTATCTGTTTCTGTTCATTGCATTGAGTCTGATTCTGGAGTGTTGCTCTGTATTGCTTTGCGATGCAAAAAGTGCATTTAGCAACTATACTGGCTCCCAGTCTTCATAGAAATGTGGGACTGCAGGGGACCTCGACAAGTCATCTAGCCTTTCCCCCATGCTGAGGCAGGATGGCAGGTGTAACTTATCCATAGACAATCCCTGGCAGGTGTTCGGTGCTTTTTAAGCACAAGTTAGACAACGATGGGGCTTCCACAACCTCCCTTGGTAACCCGTTCCAGTACTTAACCATGCTTGGAGTTAGAAAGTTTCTTAATATAAAACCAAAATCTCCCTTGAAATGAAGCCGGTTCCTTCGTGTCCTCCCCTCAGAGGAAATGGAGAACAATTGATTAGTTGTCTTTATCAATATATGGAGATATACCTATCTCATAGAACTGGAAGAGACGCTGAAAGGTCATTGAGTCCAGCCCTCTGCCTTTACTAGCAGGACCAAGTACTGATTTTGCCCCAGATCCCTAAGTGTCCCCCTCAAGGATTGAACTCACAACGCTGGGTTTAGCAGGCCAATGCTCAAACCACTGGGCTATCTGTAAAATGGGGATGAGGATGCTAACCTCTTTTGCAAAGTGCCTTGAGATCTACTGATGAAAAGGGCTAGGTAAGAGCTAGGCATTATTCTAGATGGACCATTGTTCTGGTCTCGTACAGCAATAGATGGACCATTGGTACAGAAAGGGATGCCAGCTTGGATTAGTCAGATTGTTCCCAAGTGGTAATTAATGAAACTTCTCTTCCTTATAGGTATCAATCCTTTCCCTCATGTCTTCGTACCAGGGAGATGGCCATTAACCCAAGCTCTGGGCCATTTGGAAACCCGCACCATGGCAACCCTCAACCAGATACACCGTAAGGGCAAGCCAAAGTTTCCCCCACCCAAACTCGGCCCCACCTTTGGCAACCCCCAGCTCAAGGGAGTGGTCCTCAAGACCATGATTCGCAAGCCCAAGAAGCCCAACTCTGCCAACAGAAAGTGCGCCCGGGTGCGGCTCAGCAACGGCAAGGAGGTGATCTGCTTCATTCCCGGAGAAGGTCACAACTTGCAGGAGCACAGCATTGTGCTGGTGGAAGGTGGAAGGACACAGGACTTGCCTGGGGTGAAGCTCAAAATAGTGCGTGGGAAATATGACTGCGCCCATGTTCAAAAGAAGAAATAAGTGCCGCCGCGCTGAGAGGTGTCGTGGGATTGTCAAATTCCCGGCTTCGTAGGAAAGGAGTTTTAATCACGTCTGCATTCGTGTCATGGCAGATATCCTCCAGAGACACAACTACTTGCTCTGTACTGTTGTGAGATATTTACACATAGACCATGCTCATTAAATTCGAACTCCTCTCTGAGAGACAGGATGAATTTGTGTTCCGAGCAAGGGCGCTGAGTTGTAGTCTCAGTTCCCGGGGCATATGAGGGGGTGTCTCTGGCTATGGGGTCTCTTTGGAAGAGTCACTCAGGCTTGGGGGGGGGGGGTGTCTTCCTCTGCTCCTGGGGAGAGGGGCCTCTGGAGTGTTGATCAGGCTGTGGTACATAGGGGGACTCTGCAGGGTACCAGGGGGTCTCCAGGGCAGTCACTCAGGGTGATGGTGCACTGGGGAGTCGCTCAGTCTGGATGGAGGTAGTCTTGGCTGGAGGGGGGGGGATCTCTGGGGTGTGGCTCAGATTGAGGTACACAAGAGGGCTCTGAGGATGGGTCACGTGGGGGAGTCAGGGACAGGGAGAGCACTGTGGGTCTCTGGGTGAGGGGGTTTCCCTGGGGGAGCTGTTCTGGCCTGGGGAGGGCTGGGGGGTGTTGCTCAGGCTGTGGGGTACAGGAGGGGGCTGCGGGTGAGGGGGCTATCCGGGGAGTCTCCCCCTGCCCTGAGGCAGTGTCCTTGGGTGGAGGGGGGTGGGGTTGCTGGGGATTAGCGCTGTGGGGGGGGGGTGTCTCTCTTGGGGGTGGAGGGATGGCTTCTACTCCTGGTCCTTTAGCACCCCTCCCTGCCGTCCCCATGGCAACCAGCTGGCTCCCGCCTTAGCGACCAGTCTCCAGGCGAGGGGCAGATTCTTTGTTCTGATTGGCCCTCCCGCCTCGTCTTGGGGGCGCGCTGCGATTGGCCGGCTCGCGCGGGAAAGGCAGGAGAGGGGCGGGGCGAGCGTGTCACATGACCGGCAGACATGGCGGCGCCCATGGCGCTGGGGCGGGCGCTGCGGCGGGTCCGGGCGTGGCGGGCGCTGCCGGGGCCGGGGCTGCCCGGCGCGGGGAGGCGGCGGAGCAGCGAGGGGGCGGCGGGGCGGAGCCGGCTGTACGAGCACGTGCGGGAAGGGAACAGCGCGCGGCCCCGCCTGGACATGGCGGCGCTGAGCGCCCGGCCCGAGCAGGCGGAGCGGGAGCTGGAGACCCGCAAGGGGCCGCTGGGGCCCCGGGACCTGCGCGAGATCGTGAGTCAGGGGAGGGGCTTGTGAGCAGGGGAGGGGCCTAGCTGAAAAGGGGGTGGGGCTTGTGGGCAGGGGCGGGGCCTAGCCGAAAAGGGGTGGGACTTGTGGACATGGGCGGGGCCTATCGGTAAGGGGGTGGGGCTTAGGGCGGGGGCAGGGGAAATGAATAGCTTGGCAAAGGGGATATGGGTGGTTGAGGCAGGTGCTAGAGGGAGGAGGGTCTTATGGAGAGGGGATAGGATAGAACTGATGAGAAGGGTTTATAGAGTGAGCGGGGCCTATAGTGAGGCTTGTGGGGAGGGGCTTATGGGGGAGCATGGATGGGGGCTATAAAAGGAGTGGGAGGTTTATGGGGATGCGATGGGCTGAAGGGGAGGGGCTTATAGGTAAGCATCGTGGGGACTATAGAGTGGGCGGGGCCTATTAGGAGATGGTTTATGGGGATAGGGAAGTCTACAGTGGATGGGTTTATGGGATATGAAGTGGGGCTTAGAGAACTGGGGAGGGGCCTTTGGGGAAGGAGTAACAGAATGGAGTGTGTGGGGCTGCTGAAGTGGAGTGTACTGACTTCCTTCCTGTGTGCTGCCGTTGTCCCTGGCCCCTGCTGGGTGTGATGGCTCCATCTTTCAGATCAGCTACCAGCTAATAGGGAGAAGATGGATCCAGCTTCCTGAAGCAAAAGCAACAGGGTGATTCTGGGCACTGTCACTGCTGCTCACAGGACTCTGAACAGCAGCCCTGAAACTGACTAGGGCCTTGTAAATTTCCCTGTTGCAATTTCTGCTGCTTGGATAAAGTTCTGAGCAGAAGCAGCAATGCTGCAGCTGCCTCTGTGTGGTGAAGGAGACAGATCAGGGCAAGGGGAAGCTGGAAGAGGAGGTGGATTTGGGAGGGAAGGGTGTAAGGTTAGGAGGTTAAGTTGAAGAGTTGGATTCAGGGGGGAGGAGGTGTTGCTTTGAATATGGGAAAGGAAGATAGAGAGGGTTTGGGAGAGCGAGACGGGAAAATGATCTGCAGAATGGAAAATGCCTGCTGCTTTGTAGCGTTCGGGGGAGCGACTGTTAGAGAAACCCCAGCTATGAACACTCATGCTGCTGTTTTCCATCCCCACCAGCTCTCCACATGGAAGAGGCTGGTGAATGTGCAGGAAGAGATTGGAAAACTTGAAACTGAGAAAGAGGACGTCTCCGTTCAAGTGAAACACCTCGTAGTGAGTCTCCACAACAGCACCCGTCCTATTCCCCAAAATAAAAATACCCCCCATCACATGGCTGTCACAGTGCAGAACTTATCCGAGAGGCATCCCTGGAAATTGAACAGATACCTTATTCACTGTATCCTGGCTTCATGTGCCTCAGCTGCCATCTCCTCGGCCGTGAATGACTTCAGGCCCTTTTGAAAAGGTGCCTGTGTGTATAGAATCATAGAAATGTAGAACTGGAAGGGACCTCCGTAGGTCATCTAGTCCAGTCCCCTCTACTGTAGCCAGAGGGGATGACATAGTGAACCAAACATCAGGTTTGAAACCCCTGGACTCTCTGGATCTAGAGCCTGGATCCAGCAGTTGATGCAAACCTTTATCCTTCCCATTAATTCAAATTCTCCGCAGTTTATGTTATGTGGATTGTTCAGATGAGACCAGAACATCAGAAACTGAACACTAAAACCCCCATGTGGCACATTTCTTAAGCAGGGGGGATCAGATCTTCTTCCCCCTCCCGTCACTAATCCTGGCTGCTGATCGCTCTAGAGACAACGGCTTCGTTTTAGTGCTGGATGAACTGTATCCATTAGAGAGTCCGTCAAGTGCCTTTTTCCAGAAAGCAAAGGACTGTAATTGGGCCCAACTCCTGTTGGCAAAACTCCCATTGACTTCAGTGGGTGCATCTTTCAGTCTGTCGCTGTATGACCACGTGGCTTGCCATGGTAGCTCAAAATATATGACTTTGGACTTTGATGATTTTTAAGTGTTCGGGTTTTTTTTAATCCAGTTCCTGCTTGTGGGTTTTTCTGTTTAACTCTATGGGCCATTTGTGCATGTTTTGTCTGGGTTTTTTTCCCTTCCGCCTCGCCCCCTGCCAAGCATGATTGACGAACCCTGTCCCCCGCTGCTCTCTAACCCCGCCCCTATGGGTTTTGTCCTGCTTTAAGATCCATTTCACGCTTGTGGGTCTTTGAAAAATCCAGCAGCTGTCTATCTTTGGGCTTGATTCTCCCCTCACGCTGGTGCAAAACTGGAGCGACCCCAGGGAAGTGGGTGGAGTTACACTGGTGATAAGTTAGCAGAGAATCGGGAGCATAGTGTGTAGATTTACTCCCAGGCCCTGGGGTGAGATTTTCTGCTAGGCCCCAGACAGCCCCCTTCTCCCCTATGTTTCCAAACAGCCCCAGTGTGCAATACAGTATTTCCATACAATGCTCACTTTCATACAATCCAGGCACCCCTGGTTTTGTTTTCTTTAGGCCAGACACCCTTCAGCAAGGAAATAACTCTTACTACCTACTGTTTTTCTTTTTTCCCTCCCAGGAGACCCAGGACAAGAGCACGTTGCAGGCGGTAAGAGCCAGATTTTGCTAATGTAACAATCTGTGGAAGCGGAAGGAAGCGTTAAGTGCACGCTTGACCTCTGCAGATGGGCGCTAGAGGGTCACACACTTCATTCCTTAAGTAGACTGAGCTGTAAACCCAAGGAGAGCAGAATATTAAGCTGTTGCCTGTGATGCGTAAGCAGCAGCAGGGGGCGCCAGAGAGATGTCCACCACCTGCTGCAGCAAACGGCCACACTGAGTCTGACTTTGCTCTCACTTAAAGCACTGAAATCCTGTTTTCCAATTCCCCCCAAATCAATTGGGCTCAGTGTCTTGATGCCTAAAATATTCCCTGAAAATTTGAAATTGATCAGACTGTAGCAACCCAAATCTGCTTTGATAATCCGTTCAGAAGCCCAAAGGCCACATCTAATAGTCCAGAAACTGACCGAGCCTCATTCTCCAGCTGTAAAATGAAGATAATTCATCTTTTATATTTACCCCACCTTTGTCTGTCTTTAGATTTTAAGCCCTCTGGTGCATGAACTGTATCTTCTTTTCTGTCCTAATGCAATGAGGCTCTGGTCTTCAGTGTGACCTTTAGGCTTCACCACAATTCAAATCACTGATGTTCAGGGCTTTAAAGAAAAGAGGGGTTATCTGGAGGTTAAAGCATGTGATGGGTGTCCCGTGGAATGGTTCCGTTCCCAGCTCTGGGAGGGGACGCATGGCTTAGTTGTTGGAACACGGGACTGGCTGGCCTGGTGTCCGAGTTCAGTTCCCAGGGCTGCCGCTGTGTGACGCTGGGCGGGTTGCCTTTCTGTGCCCAGTTTCTAAATTTCCAAAGGGGGCTGATGCTACCACTCCCCAGTGGAGGTTGATGCTGCTTTCAGGTTCGTGGTTGAAAGAGGCAGTGGAATGCTGTAATACAGTGCCGGGTACAAGCTGTTGGGAAGATCCTGTAATACTCGGGGGCCTATGGGCAATGAACCACAAAAAGTGCGATAAAACTCAGCCATTAGATATATATCAGGCTCCTTTTTAATCCTTGATCTGTCTGAGACTCACTCCTCCTCGCTATATGCTCATCTGCTCCCCCAAACAGCTTCCCGATTACCAGGCGCTACGGAACCGAGGACGGGAAATACGTCACCAGCTGAATTCCCTGTACCAAGAGGAGCTGGAGCTGGATGAAAAGTACTATCTGAAGGCTCTGAAACTGCCGAACTGGACCCACCCTGATGTGGTAAGCGGGGCTGCTGGGTTATGGGACAGAGGGGTGCTGTACGGGTGCACAATAGTCACTCAAGACACTGCGAGGCTTAAAATGAGAGTTGGTAGGAAACTCTGAGTACAGAAGAGATCTCGGTAAAGCTAGGAGCCTGTAATGGATGTGGATTCAGTCACCCGGGCTTTAGATGTATATATGGAACTTTCACCTTATTTCAGTCAAGTCTGTCCCTGAGCTTTGACTTAAGCAGCTGCTCGTGTACAAGAGAGGGGGCAGAGAAGAGCCACGAAAGGGATCCAAGGGCTGGAAGAAACGCCTGACAGGAAGAGATTTAAGGAGCTCAGTCTGGTCAGTGTCCCAAAGAGAAGCTGGAGAGGTGACCAGAGGTGAGAAGATTCTATAATCCAGCGGAGAAAGGCAGAACTGGACCAACAGCTGCACGTTAAAGCCGGACCAAGTCCAGTTAGAAAGAAGGCACCGGTAAACCGTGCGGGTGATTAACCGTTGGTATCAGCTCTCCAGCTCTTGATCGCTTCAAATCCCGACTGGATGCCTTTCAGGAAGACGCGGTAGCCAGCCACAAGTGCTTGGACTCAGTACAGGGGTGGCTGGGTGAAAATCTCCACCCTGTGCTCTACAGGAGGTCAGACTAGATCAGGGGTGGCCAACCTGGGGCTCCGGAGCCACATGCGGCTCTTCAGAGGTTAATATGCGGCTCCTCATATAGGCACCGACTCAGGGGCTGGAACTACAGGCGCCAACATTCCAGTGGGCCAGGGGGTGCTCCCTGCTCAACCCCTGGCTCTGCCAGAGGCCATGCCCCCACTCCACCCCTTCCCGCCCCCTCCCCTGAGCCTGCCGTGCCCTCGCTCCTCCCCCTCCCCCTCAGAGCCTCCTGCACACCACGAAACTGCTGATCGGGAGGTGCGGGGAGGGAGGGGGAGGTCGGTGGGTGGGAGGCGCGGGGAGAGGGGGGAGCAGATGCGGGGGATGCTGATGTATTACTGTGGCTCTTTGGCAATGTACATTGTAAAATTCTGGCTCCTTCTCAGGCTCAGGTTGGCCACCCCTGGACTAGATGATCTAACGTTCCCTTGTTCTGGCCTTAAAATCTTCTCTATCTATCCATCCATCCTACATACGCCCACTAAGGGGAGTGTTGCACCTTGCATAGCACACGGCCGTTCTTACAATATCATGGCCTGACTTTTTTGCTAACGGTGCGGAGTATCTGCAGCTCTAACCGCTAGACCCTGCTCCCCTCCCATTAGCTATATTGATTTGTGCCCGGCTCCCCACCTTTAACCAATGGCCTCTCCTCCACAGACACAGGAGAGGCGGATCAGGGAGTCTGGGTGCGGTTACTGCCAGGAGGGGAAGACCAGGTGGATCTCTCCAGAATTGCCCTGCTCTGTATGCTCCCCCTGAAGCTCTGATACTGGCCGCTGTCGGAGACAAGATACTGGGCTAGCTGGACCCTCGGTCTGACCCAGTATGGCTGTTCTTATGGTCTTAGAGAACCTACCCAGTCATACTTAGGGCTTGCGTATTGCGGAAAGGGTGTCTTGGCTCTGATAATACAGGTATAACTAACCCAAAGGAGTGTGCCCACACTTGCTTGCTAAACCGGCTAGAGCTACTTCCCTTGCAGATCGTAAATAGGCGCGCTGCATTCTGGGTAAGCATCCCAGCATGCAGTGTTCCACTGCTGCGCACTCTGCATTGCGGGGGTTTTCTCACGCTGCCGTTGGAATTGTGGGACTTTGGGTCGAACGCGCAAACTCCCACCATTCCCTTTCCGGTATCCTGGAATTCAGTTAGCCTCTAGGTGGTGCCGCGTCCCGAGGCCGGGTCAGAGAGAGAGAGATCCATGTAATTATGGGGCTCATCAGCTTTGGTTTTGGAGTGCGTTCCCCATGACTCTCTTGAACCTTTGTGGTGGTCCCATGTGACCTTTGACCTTTCCTTCCTCCAGCCCATCGGAGACGAGAGCCAAGCGAGGGTGGTGGAGGTCGTGGGAGAGAAACGAGGTAGGAAGCAGATTTTCAGAGGGGGGTTTCGGACCCCGTATATGAGGGGGAGGGTCACACAGGCCGGCTCCAAAGCCCATCTACAGCTGGCATTCCTGATCCCATCTTCCCCCAGCTGGGGGGAATCTGGCCCCTGGTTAGCCTTGGTTGTGACCTGCCTTCTCCAAATCTGCCTTGGAGATGGGAACATCTGCTGGGGAGAAGGGGAAAGACCGGCTTTGTCCCCATGAGCCCTGGGGAACTCTGGGAGCAGCAGCTTACAGGCAGAGAGAGCCTGGGTTCTGTAGGTCTTCGGCAGCAGTGTGTGTGTTTCGGGGGTGGGAAGACACCAAATATTAAGACGTAGGATGAGAGCAGCCACGCATCATCCCTGTGAGGGGAGAATGCTGATAATCGGAGTGTATGGTCACTCGTGCATTAGCTGTCTGGGTGTCAGGACTCCTGGGTTCCATCCCAGGCTCTGGAAGGAGAGTGGGGTCTAGTGTTTAGAGCAGAACAGGGCTGGGAGACAAGACTCCTGGGTTCTGTCCCCAGCTGTGGGAGGGGAGTGGGATTTAAAGGGTTAGAGCAGAGGACGATTGGGTGTCAGGACTCCTGGGTCCTGTCCTGCAATTGAGAAACAAAACAACTTTGACCGTGTCTTCCCAGCTCTGTCACTGACCCCCTTTGTGACCTTGAGCAAGTCACTTCCCTGCTCTGTGCCTCAGTTTCCCCAGCTGCAACAGGGGCTAACACTTGCCCAATCTCCCAGGTGGTTTGCCCGACTGCAAAGTGCTTTTTGCTCTCTGGATCCGGCGCAGTAGATGCACCCGGCGAGTACTGAGTCCGTTGAGTTCGGGGAGGGGAAGAGTCCCCTACAGCTGTGACATGTCTCCTGGGACCCCGTTGTGGCTTTAACACTTTGTTTCCCCTCCCCTTCATTTTAGCTTTTGATTTCAAAGTGAGGGGGCACCTGGAAATTGGGGAAGACCTGGATATCATCAGACAAAGGTAAGATGAGGGAGCAGGTGGGGGGGGGGAGGTTTGTTGTTAGGGCTACGTTACACTGAACTTTGGGTTGAAATCTGAGACCAAGGCCTGCGTGATACGTAGGCTTTGGCCGCCCGGCTCTGAGCACTCCACGTTAAATGGTACGGAGTTCCCTTAAATTAGGCAGAGAGCAAAGCCAGGAAAATAATTTTGATGCATCTACCCTCCTTTCTCTTCTCTCCCCCCCCCCCCCCAAAGGAGGGACATTTGGAGACAAATTAAACGCCTCCCCCCAAAGCGATCCAAGTTTGTGGTTCCCAGCCTGCTGTGTGCAAAAGCCACCGTTGCTGCTGGTCCCATGTGCTGAAAGACTGCATGGAGACTCCATGCCCTGAATATCACTTTGGTAGTGCAACCGCTGCTGGAATCCCATGTCCAAAGTACTGGGGCCCACAATTCAAGAGAGACGTTGGTAAATGGGGTCAGATGAAAGGGTTAGAAAACCTGCCTTAGACTCAAAGAGCCCAATCGCGGTTTTATCTTAACGAAGAGAAGGTTAAGGAGAGACTTGATCCCAGTCTCTAAGTGCGTATGTGGAGAGCAGAAACGTGACGAGAGAGAGGGCTCTTCGGTCTCGCAGACAAAGCTCTGACAAGCTCCATTGGTTGGAAGCTGAAGCTGGACAAATAGACTGAAATAAGGTGCAAAGCTTCAGGGCCGCTCTAACCCATGTTCCACCCCCATGGGCCGCGGGGGGCAGAGAATAACCACAGCATGGTACGCTCTGGCCACGTCCCTGATCCGCCCCCTATGCTGGGGGCCGGGCCCCTTTGCCAGTTGCACCCCACCTGCGGAGACCGCTGCGCAGGGTGGATTCTCAGGGGGCCACCTCCACACACCATTCGACTGCCGGAGGGTCCCAAATATAACTGAGCGTCAGGCCCTTGTCGCCTAAAGGGCCGTGACTCGCTAGGCCCCTCTCCAGCGTTTATACCCTCCTGTCTCTGGCAGAGGGTCAGGTTTGGAGAGGCTGGGGGGACTGCATCTTGCTATTGCATTGACGAGGCAGCTGGTGCCTCAGTTTCCCCTCCCAACCCTGACCTCAGCCTGTGAGCTCCTTGGGGCGGGGACTGCCTCTGCAGGGCCCTGGTTTCAGTGGGGCTCCTAGAACACATCTAATCAGGGGGAGCTGAGGATTGTTTGGCCGGGGGCTTGACTTCCAGTGGCGCTGAGCCGTTGACCTCAGAGTTGTGGGTGCTGAGCACCTGTGAAAATCAGGCCCTGGGGATGCTGTCTACCGGGGCAGTCCTGGGGGAGAAGAGAGCAGAACCTTAGTCCAGGCAGGATGGCAGATTGGGGCTTGTTTGAGTCAAAGGGCTTCTCTCTTTAAAACAGCCGAGACAAGGTGGCCCCCAGAAGCCGCCGATCACTCGTAAATGTCGCCCGCCCGTCCGCCATCAGGCAAATCTGCCTTGCATCTTTTGCACTCTGTGCGGGGAGAGCCGTAAACTCTCTCTGGCAGGGCGGCAGATGGTTGCTGGGGGAGCAACTGCCTGCTGTCTAGGCAGAACGCCGCAGACCTGGGGAGGCAGGAAAAGAAACCGCCATCGTCAACGACCCACGTCCTCAACCAGCTACAAAGGGATGGAGCGCCACGGAGTTCACTGGAGCTCTGGTAGCTTAAACCAGCTACGGATCTGGCGCTTTAATGCCCAAGTGCCACGCTCTGGGCCATGTGTGTTACATGGCTCGTGTCCGTAGGGGATGCGCGTCTGTTAAGAGCCAGATCGAGAGGCCTGGCTCGTAGCAGCTTGTGATTTCAGCTCTCCAGGTGCCTGGTTCAGTCCCCCTGGGATGTCTCCCAAAATGGCAGCTGTCAGACACTGATTCTTGGGAACCTGCCTCTGGCCTGTTTGGTGGTTAACAGCGTGATCTGCTCTGGCTAGACTGGAGCACACAGCTACCAGCTGACATGGGGAGACGGGTCCCATTGGACATGTTCATGGAAGAGCCTAGGTCTGAATTACAAAGAGGAAGTGGGGTCTAGTGATTAGAGCAAACGGGGCCTGAATCAGGACTCCTGGGTTCTGTACCTGGCTCTGGGTGGGGAGTGGGGTCTAGTGGTTAGAACCAGGGGGATGGGGTTAGGATTCCTGGGTTCTGTTCCCGGCTCTGGGAGAGGAGTGGGGTCTAGTGGTTAGAGTGGGCAGGGCTGGGAGTCGGGATTCCCAGGTTCTGTTTCTGGCTCTGACACTGCCTTGCTGTGTGAGTTGGCGGCAAGTCCCTTCACCCCTCTCTCTCTCTCTCTCTCAATTCCCTCCTCTCTGTGAAATAGCAAAGATCTCGAGCTTCACCACCCTGAATCAGCCCCTCTAAAAACCCCACCCTTGAGAGGCTGGGATGTCTTATTCTCTCCACTTCCCAGGTGGGGAAACTGAGGCACAGAGCGAGGCAGTGACTTGACTGAGCTGCCTGAGGGATTCAGAGGTTGGACTGAGAATAGAACCCAGGAGTCCTGATGCGCCCCCAAACCCCCGCTCTAACCACATCAAAGGGGGGACCTGCCTGGTCCTCAGGGCACCCTCCGATAGGCGTGTTGTTCTTGTAGCCAGGGCATCAGGCGGCACTAAAGTGATCAGCCACCTGCTGTTTCCGGACGCCGCAGGGGCCGTGAGTTGCAGCTCAGCTGTCGCTCTCTCAGTGCCCATTAGCTGATTGCTGACGCCCCGGCCCCCTGCAGAATGGAGGGGCCATAAATGTTGTATGGGTTGCCCTTTATCCTCCCTGTTGTTCGGCTGTGGGCCTCGGGCACTTTCCGACATCAGGCGCGCCTCCCCTGACTCCCCCACTGCCCTCGGGTGAGGGCAATGGCCCGTCATGGAAAAAGGCTCCTCTCTCTCCGCCTCTGCCCGGGCGTCACGGGGCTGGCGCGTGTGTCCTGACTTCGTGAGTCGATTAAACGGGACAATAGCTCTTTCTGTCTCCATTCCTTCGCCCACCACCCTCGGATCGGCACAAATTCCCCTCCAGAAGGGACCACCGTGATCGTCTGGGCTGACCCCCTGTATAGGCCCAGGCCAGAGAACAGCCCCAAAGCAGAACTTTTAGCAAAACACCCACTCTTGATTTAAACATTGTCCGTGATGGAGAATTCCCCATGACGCTTGGTCAATTGCTCCAGCGGTTAATTACCCTCACCTGTAAAATGTACGCCTTGTTTCCTAGCTGAATGTGTCCAGCTTCAGCTTCCAGCGATGACATCATGTTAGGCCTGTCTCTGCTGGACTGAAGAGCCCGTTAGTAAATAGTTGTTCCCCACGGAGGTACTTATAAACTGGGGCCAAGCTGCCCCTTAAACGTCTCTTGGTTGAGCTGTGTAGATTGAGTCTCTCGCTATAAGGCAGGTTTTCCAAGCCTTTAATCGTTCTCTGAGCCTTCTCCAGTTGCTCAACGTCCTGGAATGGTGACTGACAATCTGAAGCTCCCCACGACCCGCCCTGTGA